ACTCTTTTCCTGATTACAAATGGTTAGACTACATGTACACTGCATTTGGTTCCTTACCTTGTTCTTCTGAGACATCAATATCATCTATTATAAAAATACTGTAAGTACATGTATACCACACATGAAAATTTACCAATCGTCAGTGGAGAGTCAATGATTTCTTCTGCAGAGCAATACATGAATGCATGTTATTGTATTCATAGAAGCTTACCATTGCTTTCTGAATCTTTGACGTGGACTACATATGTACAATAAACTACATGTACACATTGTTTACAAGTTTACTTTCATTGTCGAGTGAGACTCGTGTCTCCTGCTGTACATTATGAGTTCAGGTATGACGAAAATTACTTACCTTCTTCATATTTAAGACCTAAACCTGCTAAAGTAGAGCAACAGGTAAGGTAAACATGTACATTTACACAAGCTTACAATCTGTCTGAAGTCCTTGTGACACTTTTCCTGATTACAAATGGTTAGACTACATGTACACTGCATTTTGTTTATTACCTTTGTCTTTACAGGCATCAATTTTATCTGTAACAAATATACTGTAAGAACATGTATACCACACATGAAAATTTGCCAATCGTCAGTAGAGAGTCAATGCTTCCTTCTGCAGAGCAGTGAATGAATTCATTGAAGCTTACCATTAGTGGCTGTACCACAAAAATTACCTTTAGATAATGCATCTTTCTTGATACTTCAGTTTATAAAAATATAATCTTTACTGATTAACAAAAATTAAATAAATTACCTCTTTGCTTTGCTTCTCCTCACCAGCATAACCCTCTCCAAACAGCTCAGTTTTCTGTGCTTCTTAACATGCTTCTCTATGTCTAGCACTAGAACTAGACAATAGTCACAAAGAGTTTCCTAAAAGAAATTTGTCTTTTAAGATATAAAGACACTATAAAAGTACCATTAGAACAGCAGCAATAAGTACTTCAAATTCAAATTTGTTTATTTTTGTTGCTATGGAGATAACCGCGTTTTTAATCAATTGTGCGGGCGTTAATTAATGATTGGGCGTGGTCTCGAGGGAAATCTAAATAGAAGGACATTTTCACCCTTTTCTCAGTTTGTCTCTAAAGAACAAGCTTAAGACATATATGATAAGCAGAATAGGACCAATAGAAGAAGTTCACAGAGTGAAATTGCTGTGTTCAAACGTTTTTACTCATTTTAAAAAAATTCTATGCTAAAGCATTGTCATATATGCTCATTACACTTCAGAATAACAAAATAACAGCAACAGGAAACTTGCAATAAATAAAATACAAGTTGCAGCCATGTTTTATTAATGTAACTAAACACACATGGCAGAAAAAACTACATTTTTGCTGTTCCCTAAGTAAAGAAATAAGGACAAGAAGATGGCGTGGCCTAAAGGTAGTAATACTAGGGTATCTTCATTGCCTATTTACTCGACTACTGAAATAATAAAAGCTCCCATTAATTGCTTGCTTGGCTAGCAATTAAAAGGTCACTGGCTAAGGCAATGGGTCCATCCTCTGTGTAGAGCCATGTGTATATGTATTAGCACATAAGCAGTCACGATGAGCTCATATAATATCAGATTCACTTTGTAGCACAGATAACCATTGGTATTGATGACATTAATGTGTACAAGTAGTTTCAAGTCTTAGCTAGCAAGCCTGAGGTCACTGCATAAGGCAATTGGTCTATCTTCTGTGTACAGCCATGTGTATATGGATTAGCACACAAGCAGTCACGATTAGCTCAAATAGTATCAGATTCACTTTGTAGCATAGATAACCATTAGTATTGATGACATAAATGTGTATATGTAGTTTCAAGTCTTAGCTAGCAAACCTGAGGTCACTGGCTAAGGCAATTATCTATCCTCTGTGTACAGCCATGTGTATATGTATTAGCACATAAGCAGTCACGATGAGCTCATATATCAGATTCACTTTGCAGCACAAATAACCATTGGTATTAATGAAATTAATGTGTCCATGTAGTTTTAAGTCTTAGCTAGCAAGCCTGAGGTCACTGGCTAAGGCAATGGGTCTGTCCTCCGTGTACAGCCATGCGTATATGTATTAGCACATAAGCAGTCACGATGAGCTCATATAATATCAGATTCACTTTGTAGCATAGATAACCATTGGTATTGATGACATTAATGTGTACATGTAGTTTGAGGTCTTAAGGCTGGTTTACATAGCGACGCTAGGCCTTGCGTTTCGTCGCGTCCATCCATTTGCGTTGCTTTGTGAACTATGTGCGTTGCGTTGGCGCATGGGGTTGCAGCATGTTGCAACGCGACGTAGCGATGGCTACAAAATCTATCTGGACGCCTTAACGCATCTAATCAACCAATCAGATCCGTTCAACCACGTGTCTGTAAAATGGCTGAGGAAAAGTTGATTGAAGCTGTGCGTTCATTTCCATGCATTTGGCAAGTTAGCAACAAAAGCTATAAGGACATCAAGGCAAGAGAGAATGCTTGGAAAGCCATTTCTGAGCAAGTTAGTATAAAACTAAGTATGATTGATGTATAAAATCACCAATAATAGTTGTAATGTATTTTATTGGACCTATTAAATGCTTTTTATGGGACCCCAAACTTACTGTTTTACTTATTGTACTGTTACATCCTTTTAGTCTATCTCTAGATGTCTTGTAAAGTTATTGTTATATTGTCATTAGTGTTACAGATTATTTATTATTAATTTTATAGG